TGTCTACTTTCTTTGATAATAACAATAATGGTATAATAATTTCACAATAATGATATAATAATGTAAACACAATGAAATAATAATAGTATAATAATGAAACAATAACGTAATAATAATGTAAACACAATGAAATAATGAAACAATAATGTAAACACAATAAAATAATGGTATAATAATTTCACAATAATGATATAATAATGTAAACACAATAAAATAATGAAACAATAATGGTATAATAATTTCACAATAATGATATAATAATGTAAACAATGAAATAATGAAACAATAATGATATAATGTAAACACAATGAAATAATGAAACAATAATGGTATAATAATTACACAATAATGTAATAATAATGTAAACACAATGAAATAATGAAACAATGTATAATAATTTCACAATAATGATATAATAATGTAAACACAATGAAATAATGAAACAATAATGGTATAATAATTTCACAATAATGTAATAATAATTTCACAATAATGATATAACAATGTAAACAGAATGAAATAATGAAACAATAATAGTATAATAATTTAACAATAATGATATAACAATGTAAACAGAATGAAATAATGAAACAATAATGGTATAATAATTTCACAATAATGATATAATAATGTAAACACAATGAAATAATGAAACAATAATGGTATAATAATTACACAATAATGATATAATAATGTAAACACAATGAAATAATGAAACAATAATGGTATAATAATTTCACAATAATGATATAATGTAAACACAATGAAATAATGACACAATAATGGTATAATAATAACACAATTAATAATGATAAAGTAATGTAAATACAATAAAATAATAATGGCATAATAATTACACAACAATGATGTAATTATAAAATAATGATTAAATAAATTAATCATGAAGAAATAATGAGAAAATATTTAATTTTGGCACTAATCTCACCCCATAGATAACACACTATGAGAACAAATACATAATATGGAATGAATGACTTTCATTTGTATTTATAGGTAAATTATTTTAAGTGGTAAAAGTATATTTCAATGTTGCGAAACAGAGTGAATAATAAACAGGGAAATGCAGTCTTTTACTGCATTATTTATATAAATGTATGTCGAATTGTTAGAAGAAAAAAAAACCACTCAGCGCAAGACATTTGTTAGTACAGTATTACGGTTCGGCTCTCATATGTCATGACTGCATCGGAGGTTTCTCCGTGATCGGATATTGCGGCGTAAACCACACGCACGATGGTTTGATTTATCCAGTAAATACTGGCTAAGTACCTCAGTTTTTTTGAATTCGAGTAATCTATACACGTATATGATAATACTGTAAATTTTCTACCACTGGACGACGACAGTTGCACGAGAATGACGTGATGTGATCAGCCCCCAATGAACACGACTGCGGTTAGTGACGAGATCAGCTGTGAACAAATTGTTATTACTGGTTTCATCTTATAAATTGTATATAGATAAAACGTGTATACATTCAAAAACACGTGATGAATTGTACTTACTTCAATGTCAACTCTTCTTCATGAACATTATCAAGTTCAAGTTGATCAACAACATCACACTCGCGTTCCGATTCTGAGTTTTCCGGGAAGCAATCGCGACAGTATCTACGATGCACATCTAAAAGATGTGCTGCAAAGATTGTATTTGACTTTCCAGAAAATTGTACTTTCGTGGTGTCACACCAATTGCCGTGGGAAGCTCCCAAGTAGATTTTAGTTTTGTCCCGGTTTCTATATTTCATCGCTTTCGCCGCCATTTTGTGTTTTGGTACTCAAGAGTGACAGATTGCATTATGGGAAATATTTCGACAGGTGGGACTCACCACCCAAACATGCGCAGCGCGACGACGCTACCGCTTTAAGTCATCCAGTGTGTAAGGGCTAGGATTGAAAACCAGGTAATTCACAATATCTGGATATGTCACGGACGGTAACAAGGCGACGTCTGCAGACCATTTAGTAGCATCAACCACGTAAGGGTCACAGCCCCCAATAGTAGACAGTTTTGCTTCATAACGTAGCTGTTCTGCACCAGAAAGTGTTTCACGATACAGACAGAGAGCATTTTTAGGTTTCAATTTAGAGCCAGACATGTTTGCAATGAAAGAAGGAAATGGAAATGACTGAAGGAAATGAACAGATACACTAGCAAACAATCAATCTATTTACGCGTACTATTGTTATGATCGCAGACGACACAGACGACGCAGACGACACAATTGTAGGACCTCCAAAATGGCCGACTTCCGGGTTAATGACGTCACGTGAAAGACCTCTATTGACAGGACGGTCCCAAATATGCCGACTTTTACAATGACATGCACGCAATTAAATCTACACGTTGTGCAAGTGTCCTCGGCAAGCATTGTTCTTAGTAGAACACCGGGAAGTAAATCTCACCAGAACTAATATCGCACGTTAACGAGTGACATTAATTCCTGGCTTGATTCGTACATGCGGGTCACACATACCCAGAAGATTCGTGGCAGCGGAAAAATGTCGCATTAAAATGCTTGCAAGAAAACGACCTCTACTGTGTGCAGGTGCAATGAATGTGCATTGCATGTGTTGAGAATAATCATGGCGGGCACCAGTAATTCAACGGGAGCAGTTAAACGGGTTGATTATTGTGTGATATTGTTTGATTCTTGGTTCTTAAAACACAAATTATCGAATATATTAAAAAACTGTAAAATGTAATCAAGAATTTGCTTTATCTGTGAAGTGTAAAAACTTATTTTTCCTGTAAAAACGTAAAATGCAATTTGTATTTCCTGTGACCTGTACGAACAGCCCCGACAATCCATCCGTACAATATTACCGACAATCGTACATTCGTATAATATTTCGAATTTGTAGTTATGGTTAACCGTACAAATTAGTTTTCGTTTGGACTTTGGTGGCGCTATTACTTGAAATGACGACAGCAATTTCCCTTTCCTAATACGGTATGTGACCTCTAACCTCGGACGTCATCGTTTGGATCAGACGCACAGACACCAGCAAGGGCAATAGCCAAGAACATCTCTCTGCTCTGCCACACAGGTAAAAACTTCTAGTTTTATGTCGTTCTGAAGCACTTGGGCCAATGAAATGGAACTGACTAACGTAGACGTCAAACGTGATAGATACTTGCGGTTCTGTTTTTTATTAACTGTCGTTTAAAACAAGAAAACCGGCGGCCGGTCTGACCATAATTTAATGAATTGTTTTCCGAAAAACGACATTGTCGGCTCGCCGCCAACAGAGAACAAGAGTCGGGTCTATTTTTGTACGTCGTCATTCACAATTCATCAGGATGTGAACATTGAGTGTGCAATTTGTTAAACAACGTTGTTTTTTCCACGTTTGTTTAGGGTACAAGTTGTGTCCAAATCGAGCTCGTCTTGAACTCGCATGTCGACGAAATGACGTGACCCTGCGTTTTCCGTTGGCGGTTGAGCAAATTTCACCGGTGGTGTTACGAAGTTAATATTTGTGTAGGGAAGTCCGTGTGAAGTCTGAACTATATCTAGCATCCTATGTGATGTCGTCCACCACATATGGTCATTTACCCAATCTACATTAATAAATTTGGAATTTTATAATGTCATTTTTTAACAGCATGTCGGCAACAAATAACATTTTCTACGGAATTTTGTTGCATTATTCATTATAAGTCATTGAAAATGATACGTGTTCACCTGAAGCTATTTTTTTTTTATCTAAAACAGTTTGATTGTAAGCTTTGCTGTCCTAGAAAAACATAATGTGAAAAAAAGTCTTGCTCCTGTACAAAGTCTTTGTCTGTTTGTACTAATTAATTCTTTCTCTTCCGTTTAAGGGTTTTCAAGTTGTAAATAACATTTTTATATCACCAATATCTTTTGCTCAAGATTTTCAATTCCTGTTGATCGGAAACTTACACTTTTTATAATTATGTCTGAATGCAGTGATTTGGACAGGTAAGATTTATACTTCAAACATGTATTTTGCTTAAAACAATGCAGGAGTAGAAAGAAGATTTTGGGTGTTGTGCAGGCTACAAAAAAGTGATGTGAGGTCACTCATTTTTTGGAAGTCAAAACTAGACAGGAGAAATTATAGTATGATGCAGGATGTAGATTGAGAAGAATTAGAATAGGAGGTTGTGATGGCAGAAATAATCTTAATAGAGCAGTTCATTCTAATGAACATTTGTAAAAAAAAAAAGTGGCAGTAATAATGTACAGTCAAACCTGTCTATAAAGGACAGTCAGTGGACTGAGCCAAACTGTCATTTATAGACAGATGGTCTTTATATGGAGGTGGCCTAATTTATTCATTCAATCATGAATATTAATTAGGGCGGGAATTTTAAGGGAGATCATAAGCAAAACATAAAAACAAACCTACACATTGTACAATGAATAAGTCTTTTGTAATAAGTCACTCATTTTCATCTGGATAATTACACAGCTTTACTTTTTTACTACAAATTATATCATGTAAATTCACTGAAACCAAGTGATTCTGCCCATAGATTCATTCTTGTATTTAATGCATAAGAACGATTGTCAACGATCTGCCGCATTGGCGTTTCAGCTCTGTCTTTCACACTCTCGCCATGCAGTCTTATTCCCCAGTCTCTTACACATATGTTCCATCACAGGCGGTAATCAGTCCCATCGTTAGTATTGTCGATTGAACACTGTGACAAAATGCACAGGCAAAGTTGTCGTGTTTGAAAAAACAAACAAGCATTAAAAATGAAGAAGCATTGGTAATAAACAAAATTTACCAAACTCATAACGATTGCTCCAACTGTCGGTGTTGAATCAGAATGTCAAACGAACCGGAAATGAAACACGATGGTCGTGCACGCAATTTTACAGTTATTTGTTGCAAGCATCGACGTGTCGAAACTGCTTAAACGAAACGAATTTTCCCGATTGCGAATTATTGATATTACCTTTTATAAAAAAAAGAGGATCAAAATAGAAAACATCTTTCGTTGAGAATAACCCCGAGATGACCCCTCAGTAACAATACATTTTGCCCATGCACTAACTTCATTAGCATAATTTGTAACGATCAACAACAAACAACATGGCGGCCAAAATAGGTCTGATTTTGCAATCCCGCGATGAAAACTAAATAAACGAATGTTTTATTATTTTGTTTGGATATTTCATGTCGACAAGGTAAATAAAACATCTCTCATTTAATAAAACTGGTTCATTTTTTTTTTTCGAGACGGGAGGAATTTGCTCTTCATGTGCGAGACAGTCCACAGAAGTGCCGCTGGCCGGCTGGGGATCAATAGTATAGTACCGATTGGAAACAAGCTAGTTTTTTATTTCAAACTTTAAATGAAACTGTTTTAATTTGTTAAAATTTTCCAGTCTCCAGACGTTACATTCAGATGATATTCAACTTTTTGTTTTTACTTTTTCGCAACTTCACAAACCATGTTGCGATGGTCACCCCTGTCTCTTAGCCCTAAAGATTACGTACTCGGTAATCTGAACGTAACACATGGCCACTTTCCTGTTAGCGATTAGCAAGTAGCTATTGTATTTTTACTGAGACCGTCTGATGGAAATGTGTGAATAGCTCTACAATAGGGTGGTCGCTGGTCGCGTTGGACAGGTGGCCGCTATATCCAGTGTCTTTAACGTGTAAATTGCGAAGGGACTGTACTAAGGTGGTCGCTATGAGCAGGTGGCCGCTCTGCACAGGTGGTCGTTAACACAGGTTTGACTGTATGTAGAAAGCAAAGTTAGGCCCTTTGGCAAGTTGAGCTAAGAGTCACTGGGTGCTTTCCTCTTTAGTGTTAGTAAATATGATAATTGGGAACCAACCAAACAATGAATAGAAAATGTTTCCCATATACTGTGAAATACTTTATTTTAGCTGGAATTAATTTTCGCTGAAAAGACTTTTGGGGCGTTTTAGAATTAATTTTCACTGATTTTTCACAAGTTTAATGTAAAATATAGGAAAAGGTATATATAAAGAATCTTCCTTCAGCGAAAATAGTGAAAATAAAGTATTCTACAGTACATCATAATGTAATTTTTACTCACCTAGAGATGTTTAGTAAATTTTAAAAATAATTTCGATTCACTACTTTCACTAATGTCAGAGCAAAATGAAATTCTATGAGCAACCTGGCTATCTGGACTTGCCCGTATTTCCATATGTTAGATAACTTCATTAAATGTCACAAGGTTTCTATGATCTCCATTTGTGATGACTTTTCTAACTCCTGGCTTGTACAAGTAGTAATGTATGTTAAACTATATACGTCTCAGTTGTACATGTACAAGCTAGTAAGACCAAACAAGTTTCATGCACTGTATTATGTTTCTATCACTGGGGGAATAAAATAAACACAATGGAATGTTTTGTAGCATCTTTGCCATATGTGATTTGAGATTCTGATCTTTAAATAAGTTGTCGCTATTAATTATTTGCTCAGCAAGTATGTACCCAGTAGTTATTTAAAATATCATCTAGGTTATGTTTCAATCCTTTAGCACTTGTCAACACATTGTCTGCTGAAAGGCAAAAGGAGATGGCATTATTAATGGCGCAAAAAAGAGATGTGTGAAGTGCAATTTTTCAATCTCTGTTGTTAGACTGGCTGTGTTCATGTGAATAGTGTATTTACAACGATCTCTGGATTTGTTAATTGTTATCATGTCCATGGTAATGTGGTAATTGCTAATTATGTGATACTTAGAGATAAATACTAATGTGCATTCTAATTTGTGGTTTGCTAGTCATCTGATTTCTAGCATGCTGTTATGGATCACTCAATTTCTATTTCATGCATTAGTATGTTTACTGTAGAGTTGATGACACGTGTCTACCAAGTGGCCATTGAAACAGATGAAAAATTGTTGAACAAGAGTTTAATTTCCTAAGCTAGGATACCTTCTACTGTTTTACCTTATTTATTTTAAATTAAAAAAACTGCATGCTGTTAATGGTTGAAGTAATATTGGAAATCATCACCATTATGAGACAACCCCCTTTCCAACTTGTTGGGATTTGACCTTGCTTCAGAGGGCATCCTTGAGGCATGTTCACATGTTAGTCAGATTAGTAATCAAACCATGACAAGTAAACCAGTACTTGCAATTTCACCTTTGTGTCTGGACATTCCCAGACTGATCATTCAAACTTTACACGTACATTATACATCTTGGAATGCATATGCATTTGTTTCATGATACGATTCAAGATACTAAAAATTCATTGAAATATTTCTGCTTTTCCACAACATGAATTTCATCCAAACTTGGTACATGTATTGGACATTACTCAGTATTAGACCTTGATGTACTCATTTTGGTTGGCAGATTACCTTCAAAATACCAGACAGACTACTGTGGAATACTTTATTTTCGCTGGAACTAATTTTCGCTGAAAAGGCTTTTTGGGCGTTTTGCTTGGAATTTATTTTCACCGATTTTTGATGAGTTTAATGTGAAATATAGGAAAACAAATATATTTGCTGGATTTTATTTTCACGGAATCATCCCTTCAGTGAAAATAGCGAAAATAAATTCCTATCGAAAATAAAGTATTCTACAGTAATTAATGCTGTTCTTGTTCTTGCTGTTCTTCATAGGATACATGTGCACATTTATTAGTTTTATGGTTTGATTTAAGGTGGCTGAATGGCAACCATTTTACTATGGGGAAAATTCATCCAAATTGATTACATCTCTCATTCTGAAACCAGACCTTAGTTGTGCAGACAGATTTCGTTTGAACTTGGTACATGTATTTTAGTGACCAACAATTTTGCACTTGGCTGCTAAATTTTTCAGTAGGTCACCAACAATGTGAACTTGGTGGCTTATCGCTACTAGGAAGAAAAAAAAACTTTAAGGTGTATTCTTTATTAGTCCCCGTTCGAACATGCATGTGAGTGTGCGGACCTATATCTTAGACATGCCTGGACTGATTTCATTCAAACTTCACTCTTACATTATTATACATAATATATACATATGCACATAAACTTGTTTCACCATCTGATTTTTGTACTAAAAAATTGTCAAAATCAAGCATTTCTTAGCAGTTTGCTGATAGATTTTGTTCTAACTTGATACGTACATCGGACATTATGAGACCATGATGCATGTCATTATTTTTTTAGCTTTGCTGTCGACTCTCTCGAGCGGAGCTTATCATATAAGTGATTGTCCGTCGTAGACAGTGTCAAATTTTTTACTTTTTTGACTTCTTCTTGAAAACTACAAGACTGAATGCTCTCTTAGATTTGTTCATTTCATGAAATCTTTAATTCTCTAATTTTCGTGAATATTTTTGTAATTTTTGGTAAAGTGATATTTTCAACTTCTTGTTGAAAACAGCAAGTCTTATTGCTTTGATACTTATACATATAGGGACCTCGGGTAGACCTTAGATTTGTTCATTTTCTAATGATATCTTCAGTTCATAATTAAAATGTGCATTGCTAACAGCGGAGCTATCTCTACCTAGATGCCGCTTGTACTTTTCGACTTCTTCTTGAAAACTACAATTCTTATTGCTTTGATACTTGGTGTATATGTACCTTGGACAGACCTCTCTCAGATTTGTTCATTTCTAAGAGGATCTTTAATTTTTAAATTGAAATGTGCATTGCTAACAAAACTATCTCGCCAAGAGGCTGCTTGTTAGTTTATCTGTAGTTCACCTTCTTGTGGTGATAGTATTTGCTACCAAGTTGAAGAGTAATACCGACAGATTAAATATTCAAAAATTGTTTCATGTAACTGATTTTAATGAAGAAAGACAACACGAGTTTGCATGGCACAATGCCATTCATGCCTTGCAGATAGCTTCCCCTCTAATTACGGTATCCTTTTTTACAGCTTAATATCATAAAGTGTTACTTACCCTACACGTTCTGTTTTTCTCCCTGAATGTCAAATGTTTATTATTGTATTAATAAATATTTGGGAATTCTAAACATTACTAGTCACAGCCGATGACCCTAATTCCATGTTTAAATTTTACTTTATTCATGATAAAATGTCATGAATCTCAGTGGTAGTCTTTCATGTGCCAGGGAATTATTTTTAATGTCGAGTCTGTGTTTAAAAGTTGCAAAAATGTTGTGTAGCTTCAACTTTAATAGCTCATATGTACATAATATGATTGAATCATTATAATATGATTCTAGGAAAAATTTTAGTTTCATCTTTGTGTCGTCCAAGTATGAATGCTGAATATGCCTTAATATGTACCCACTGATGTTATTTTTAAAAGATGCTTCAGTCATGCAGTCGTGAGAAACAAATGCCCACAATTGACTATTTTTTTTCCCAAAAAGCAAAGATTGCAGCCAAACCACGCGACAGATGAACATTTTTTTATTCACTTCAAAAGCTATGGCCATGCTACTTGCCAAATATTTAGTTGATGGTTAAAGCACTTGAGAGAAAAAAACCTCCAAATTGTTTTCATTTTAGACAAAAAAAAAACAATATGGCAGCGAAACTATATAACTGATCCAAATTATTTGTTTGCTGTCTGAAGTTCAGTATAAAAATGCAACATGGCAAATTTCAAAATAATTAGATAAATGTGGCATCTGTAAAAAAAAAAAAACTTCCTCTTTGGCTGGAATATTGTTTTGAATTGAACAGGATGTTATGGCAATTATGAACAGGCACATTTTTCTTTAGTCTAAACAAAAACAAAATAACTTTTTGTTGGTATAAAGATAATGCACAATGTCTTGGATGTGCACATTTATTTGTAGATCTGATCAAATATACCCTCGCAGTCAGTTTATTTTTTAGGTCACCGCATTCTTATAATGTATGTTTGTCATGCAGTGATCAATTCCAATCATAGTTGGCTTATTGCAATACATGTGCTCTTAATGTTGTTCTGATTTGATCGAATAATTCAACTATTTCACTCGGATGACATTTTTTGTCTTGAAAAGCATTTTTAGATGAAGGCTAAAAGTTGCAGTTGCATATTGTCATTGTTCTGATTTGCTTCAATATTGCAGACTTGAGGTTAATTGTTTTCGTTTTCCATTTTTTCTTTCCTAGTATTTAAATGACCAACTTTACTGACAACCATTCTCAGTGCCGACTGTTTGATTTAAGGATTCAAATTTTGCACTACTTCAATGCAAAAAATAACCATAATTTCGTTTAGTAATTCCATACCATTAACCGATAATAATAAAAGCATGAAGATGATGTACAATATTCAAATTGGCCTGTACATGACAGTGCGATGTGAGGCATTCACTTCTACTCGGCCATCTCATACTACAGTTTTCAATTGCAAAATTTCTATGCTATGCACGTTAGATAAAAGTGTTTCTCGACACTATATTCCGCTCTAGAAGATCGGTATTTCAACTTTGAGCTGTAAAAAAGGAAATCAAAATCTGTTTTTGATATGTATGGTTCACTGAACTAATGTAAAACACAACTTGACATTGCCAGAATTGTAGTGAATACCTACTGACCTTAATTATGAATTGCAGGCAAATAGAGCAGCTAAGAAGATGTGAAATTATTAAAGAAAGTGAAGTTAAAGCACTGTGTGCCAAAGCGAGGTAAGACTGCATTGGATTTGCTATCTATCCATACAAACAAAAATTGTACCATGCTTCTCAATGCTACACGTTGTACTACCATACTCATCAGACTTGGTGCCCAGGGTTATTTAGCTCACAAGCACCTCACTCGTAAACTCAAAAAAAAAAAAAAAAAAAAATTGACTAATACATCATGTGCCAGATTAGGGGGAAAACTGTACGTCATTTTTGATGAAATGGGTTCATAATCAGTGATTTCCAAGTCGCATTTACAATGACGAAACATAAATGACCAATAAAATTTGAATATTTTATTAGAATTTACGATGTAAAATTATTAGTGTGTGGGAAAACAATCAACCATCTTCGTTGAATATTTTAGATTGGTTGCTAAATCCAGATTCAGAGCAATTTCCGCCATTTTTTTTTTTTCTAGCACAATTTGACCTAATGGGTCATGTCTATTAATATCCAATCATAATGTAGTGTTGTGTCTGCGCAATTCTTGAAGCCATTCTGGCAACGCAATGAGGAAGTGAATAATTGATGTTGAAGTACTACTTGTTGTAACTGACTTCAGCAAAAAACAGAAAAAACAAGATTCTATTTTCAAAAAACTGATAATAAGCAATTTTTGTAAGGTGAACTGAAAATGGAATTTACCATCGTTCAGGACTGTAACAGTCACTGTCAAAGCGTAGTTTACGAATGATATCCACCCTGTATTTTATAAATTTGATTGATGGTATTTCGTCAAATGATGCTCAAAAACCAGGTTTTATGACTGGACGGTCAAATTTTGAGCATTAGGAAGTGATAACACTTAGCTGAGAGGGCGACTTAGTCGCGCATAAGTGCTGAATCGAATGAGGGCGGTATATAATCTCATCGAATTGATAGATAATTAAACATGGTACTGAACATCTTGTTATAAACCCAATTTGGGAATCTTTATTGGGTTTAAGATTACCTTGTATGTTGCATCCTCTTTAGTGTACGTGACCTTTATCCTTTGACTGCTTAGCCATCAATCAGGAATTGTTATTGATACTAAATCTGTAATTACCAGATTAAATAATTTCAATTAGCATGTAAATAACTATGCAATATTCTCTTACAGAGAGATTCTTGTTGAAGAAAGTAACGTCCAAAGGGTAGACACACCAGTTACAGTATGTGGTGATATCCATGGACAGTTTTACGATCTGAAAGAACTATTCAGGGTAAGTTTGTTAATATACTGTAAGCTAAATTAATCTGCTACAGCACAGCTGAATTGCTGTACTTGCTGTTGAAACTGATATTTCCTTGTCCCTTTCCATGTAGATTGCCTACCAATATACAAGCTTGTACATGTATCCGAACACCCAGTCCAGTATTTTACAGGGTCCGTAGTGTTGGAAAAATCCTTTTGAAAGTTTTTTGGATTTTTTGAGGTCTGAAAAGTCTTTTGAGTCTCTTTAAATTGCATGAAAAATAAAATATCTTTGAAAAGTCTTTAAATTTCTTCATAGTTATTACTGGCATGTTTTCTAGCCCAGTTCTAACAAGTGTCGGCAGTGATTGCTATCCCCGCGCCCGAATTAAGGGTCAAAGTGTCTTAGAAAAATGCAAGAATTTTTGGGAAAAGGTCTGGAAAAGTCTTGGAAATCATTTGGCCCTTGGTGCTATGACCCTGTTTTAAGACAACTCGCTAAATACACAAATTACAATTACTGTGATGCTGTGTTTGAACTTGGGATTCAGAGAGCACCCTATTCCAAAATTGCTCAGATTAATAATTGTAACAATAAAAATATCCTACTACCGGTATTTCAAAGGGTGCTGATGCATTCATTAAAGTAGGGCTTCTGGGCATTGTGGCCTTCCTGAATTTAAAATACTGTATCTTTGATTATGACTTGTTTCAATGGTTTACAGGTTGGTGGTGATGTACCAGACACAAACTATCTTTTTATGGGTGACTTTGTTGACCGGGGATTTTACAGTGTTGAAACATTCTTACTATTATTAGCACTTAAGGTATGTGTACAATTTTATGTTTATTGTAATTTAGATATCAGTGCCAATGTTCTTGGTCATTGTGCCGCATCAGTTGATAATTTTTTCATGATTTTTGTCGGAAATTTATGAAAAATTAAAGAAATACTACAACCAAATTTTTGTTGACAACTAAAAAAAATAAAAAAAATGTGTGCCTGCAGTGATTTTAAAGAATTAACCAGAATTTGTTACTTTCACTGGGCTTATAATGGTCTAGTAGTTGCATATAGGGTTGCAGTTTTAAAATAAAATTAGAATCTGGTGGATTATATAGAAGTTAAGAATGATTTAGGGTTTGTTTATATTGTAATGTGCTTTCTGTATTGATTTCCTTAGTCTGTTAACAAACTGTTATATACTGAAAAATGGCAGCCAGCTCAAATACGAGTAATTTATCAAAATGAGTCATCTTTTGGTACGAGTTATGAGTGACTATAGTACAATTTAAGAACATTTTTAAAAATTTCTCATTTTACAAGTGTTTACTGGGGAAGCCGTACTTAATATTGAAATCTCTATTTTGCATTGAGAGATTAGCAATTGGTTCACATAGGTTTTGATTTATGAAATTAACAGTTGAGCAAAGTGTCCCACAGTTTAGCCATGTTCAGCATTCAGTTAGGTTCTTTCTTTTTATTGGACAACTGTGAGCATTGTTTCAAACATTTACGGAGAGTCGAACCATCTCAGAGAAAAATTTTAGAATCACCATCCAAATTAGCCTAGTTTTACAAATAATTGTTACTTGAACACAATCTGTTACCTCGCTAATGTTTCTCCCTACTTGGATAGTCAGAAAAACGTGCCTTATAAATGCACCGGGTTCAAGGTAAATTTTTTTCAATGAAAACTCTCTTCTCAATACTAAATTTGCTTCATAGTATTAGTGAAATTGTATTTTTGAAATGACCTATTTCACTGTTGCATTGGACAACAATATCCATGGAATGTACCACCTACATATATTGACACTGGATCCTGTTCTTACAAGTGGCAAACATACCGTTAAGTCTCAATATAAACTTCATACATTGTATATAATAGTAACTGCACACCCAATTTCACCACTAGAGTTCTTGACAAAAATTGAAAACATGAAAAGTACCTATTACTAACCGCACCCCCAAATCGACAAGACTGTGACTGACTTCATTGCTTCAACCAGCTGGTCCAAAACGGCATTGTTCCTAATCCTATTAATTTGTTTCGACCATGTGCCTAAAAATATTCATACCTATTTTTTTCAATGATAAAATGTTAGACACGCAGTTAAACCGCTTTTGTTCTGATGGCACGATTGTCAATACACCTTATGATTACATCTGTGTTTCGCAAGTTTTCGACAATGAGTTATCACCATAAAAATGATAAATTATTAAATGTTTATCTTTCGAAAATAACTAATTTCTTGAATTGAAAAAAAAATCGTGCTGTTTTCCCATCGAAATCAAAGCCAAAAGATCATACTACAACTTCGGTAAATCTCTTCAGTGTTGCGTTCACAGTGAAATCGCTGAACTGTCATTAACATATTTGAATGAGCTATGGTAATTCGAACATGTTGGTACCATCCAGCATTTTAAATAGTTAATTACTGACTTGACTTGTCTGGTCAGTTTCAGATCACTCGTGTGCATAGAAAATCATTCTCTTATGGTGAAACTAAGTTGAATTTTACTTGCATTTCACTACAATTCAATTTATTCAATTTTTTTTTTACGTTATCATAAATCACTGAGTAATAACAATTTCAACACTTCGAAAACAAGTTATTCACTTGTGAAACGCAGTATAACTGGATTACACTACCATACCGTGATCATTTGCTGAGCAATGTATTAGTGTTTGTTAGCTCCGCTGTCATCGTAGATGACCCAGCGGAGCTGTTGGTATATGCGGGTCTCTGCCCATGTCCCGAGTGAAGTTTTCCTTTAAACAACTTCTTCTTCAAAAGTACTTAACCAATTACATTCATTTCTGTACCAAAGGTACTTGGGATTTGTTAAATTCGTGTCAAAATATGAAAATTTGGATTGTTAGTGAATATTTTTGTAATTTCTGGTAAAATATGTTATTTTCGACAACTTGTCTGAAACCGCGAGTAAAAATCCAAATTTGTTATTCTGTGGTCTGTAACATTTAATGGAACTGTTATTTTGAAAGACAGGTTAAAATGATCTCTGGAGTATAATTTAAATAAATTCCCTTAGTTTTGTTGGCAAAATCTGCTTTTTTGTGTTTCATGAATGTCCACAATAATGTACCACCAATCAATTTTGTTTGTTTTTCAGGTTAGATATCCAGACCGCATCACGCTTATACGTGGCAACCATGAAAGTCGTCAAATTACACAGGTTTATGGTTTTTATGATGAATGTCTACGAAAATATGGTTCTGTGACAGTGTGGCGGTACTGTACAGAGATATTCGATTACCTCAGTCTCTCTGCCTTTATTGATGGAAAGGTATGTATAGCTATCCCCGTAATGCCATGTGTTGTGAATAATGTATAAAGTTTGAACACATTTATATCTGTATATTTAGCACTGGAGAGAATAGTAAACAGAAATGTGTGGTCAACTAAGACATTGCCCATCTGTGTGTCGGCATCATTGTACAAATTATCCAGTCTATATTGGGGTCCAGGAATTAATCCCTGATGTAGTGACTGCATATTTACATTCCTTTGTGAATGAAAATCCTTATTCGTTAATTACCAGACTTGAATTATGCCAGCATAACCTTTTTTTCTTTTGAAAACGTGGTATACATGAGCTTGACTACCAAGTGAGATTAGCAATATTCCTTGCAGTGCAGCTCTGTTACAATTGTGATTCTAATTCCTGTGTATAATTGTCTTGCAGATTTTTTGTGTTCATGGAGGTCTATCACCATCAATCAATACCTTGGATCAAATTAGAACGATTGACCGCAAACAGGAAGTGCCACATGATGGACCAATGTGCGATTTACTGTGGTCAGATCCGGAAGGTATGTATTTTTTCATATGGGGGATAGTTAGTGATATTCAGCGAGGTGGTTCCTGGTATCACTGAATGCAATCTGAAGCTGATCTTGTTTTCAGAGCTAAGTGGCTAATTTTATAACTGCAAATGAATTAATAGAACAGTGTGATGCGATTTATGTAACGTGATGCGATTTATGACTGTTTGGACAAACTGAAATAATCACTTGTGGCAAAATGATATAATATTATAGTGCAATAGTTTGAATAATATCAAGAATACTGTGTAGCTACTGGACCACTTTAGTATCGCTGTTTATTAGTCCCAGTTTGGACGAAGTCCGAAAATGGAGACTTATAATTCGGTCTCCGTCCGTCCGTGTGTGCGTCCGTCCGTGTGTGCGTCCGTCCGTGTGTGCGTCCGTCCGTCCGGAGTCGTGTCTCAGAATCCCTTGGACCGATTCCGTTCATTCTTTGCATGTGCCGAGTACTTTATGTTAAGATACATGTCCTGACCGTCCGTGAGTTCCTGAGTCTGTCTGTCTGTCTGTCTGTCTGTCTGTGGGTCCGTCTGTCTGTCTGTCTGTCTGTGGGTCCGTCCGTCCATGCGTCCGTACGTCCATGCGTCCGTCCGTCCATGCGTCCGTCCGTCCATGCGTCCGTACGTCCATGCGTCCGTACGTCCATGCGTCCGTACGTCCATGCGTCCATGCGTCCGTACGTCCATGCGTCCGTCCGTCCATGCGTCCGTCCGTCCATGCGTCCGTCCGTCCATGCGTCCGTCCGTCCATGCGTCAGTCTATCCAGAGTCA